TGACAGTATCATTTCTGAAAAATGTCCTTCCACTACTACCTCAAGTCTATTGCACTGTAGCTTGCATATTATACTGATATTGCACATATTGTCCAGATTGTATGTGTTTATACACATAAGACAACTTCTTCGTTAATACAGTACATTTTATTTTTATTTTTTTCCTTAAGTGCTGCTTTAATGCACTTTCTTCTATTTCTTATTTATTACTTCAAATTATTAAAAATGTTGTTTATACCTTTTGTGTGTGTGTGTGTGTGTGTGAAGCGTGGAGGGGGCTTCAACTGAATTTCCTCAGTCAATAAAGATGAACCTGAACCTTAAACCTTGTATGCAACATTTCAGATGAGAGGGAATTGTCTTACTTAAAACTAAATTGGCACATACTGTATGGACCTTAATTTAATCCTGTTTATTTGTTTTTTCATTTACTTCTGCAGTTACACTTTTTGTCCACAAGAGGACTCCCCCTGTTTCCTTTGGTGCTAAAACCAAATTAACACATCCATCCTATACCATTAGTGCTAAAATACAAAGAGATAAAACATTTAAAAATCAACTACTGCGATTGTCATTAGTAATATGTTATTCCTCAAATATGTGCTTTTATTTTTGCGCGGAGTTGCTTGTCCAAAAATGTTACATATTTTGGACAAGGTACATTAGTAAAAGTGGAAGTAAAAGTGGTACAACGTGCAGTTGACTTGCCATGTGGTCTGTATGTTGCACGTGAATTACCTGTGGGTAGATCGTGAAGTAATTTAGTACTGTAACATATTTTGGAAACAAGAGGACAACACGGTTCCATATCCCCCTTTGAGCCCACAGTCATACTTTATACACACCCCTACCGCTCTGCTGTAAATTCACTGAATCCCCAAATAAGTCATCCTTTCATTTTTATTTAAATTTCACTTAAATCTCTGACCGGTGTGAGGCATCATTGTTCTAGAGGGAAATACAAATTCCAGAGATACAGTGTAATATCTATAGAATCCAACAATATAAAAAACAGTAAGAGGTTATCACGTTCACCTCACTACAAGTAAACAATAGCTGGACACAAGTTATAACATGGTTTCATCTAGTTCTACCGCAAATATGTCCATTTCAAAACAGGGAATGGTATGAGACAGCTACATTTGCTGAAATGAGGTCTCACATTCATCAAACTGAAAAATAGTGGGCAGGTTCTCTGCATATCAACTCCTACTATTAAATGTTTCTGTTTCAGCGGGGGCTTTCAACCTCAAGCTGTATTTAGCTCTAGTCACATGGCCTTCACTTTATATTAAACATTTGCAAAAAAGTACCCCAAAAAAAGCAAATCACAACACTGGATCTTTTCAGCTTCAAGCCACACAACATATCTCTTTCTTAAAGGAGGAACAACAAGACTGAGCCATTAGATAATATTCCTCTCATATTGTCTCAAGCAGGAAGCACTCACACAAACATAAACTGATGGAATGTGGTGTAAACGGTCACCGCCCAAACAGAACAATTGTGTCATTCCTTGCCACACAAGACTATTATAAGAAGGTTTCTCAGAATGCTCTTGTTTTGTTTCATCACCACCACGTACGGTAATAACCTAATGGTGTTCCATTCTACATTGTTGATAATTGACTCATGGAAGTTGGTGTGTTTATCTTCAACTGTGCAACTCTCCCAGTATCTGATACACAGTATCTGATCACAGCCTCTGAACTCCTGCCCACATCTCGGTTCGCATTTTGTCAGCAACTCAAAGGTAAAACAGGAATTTACATCTTAATACAACAAAACAAAACTATAGAAATAAAAGGAATACGTTATGAGGTTATGGGAAGAGTAGCATGAGGAGGAGATACTGAGCAGTAAACTGCATGAATGGCAAAAGTGATGGGTCGAGAACGCCCAGTATCTTAATTGGAGAATAACCCTTAAAGTATATAACTAGCTACATGCATCTAATGGCCTGCTCAAAGTCAGAGTACTGGATCTTAATCACATGGTGGATGCTTTTGCACAGTAACTGAGGAGAAAGAAACACTCAGCTCCTTTGGTTACTGTGAGTCTGTGGTTGTTTTATTGAGAAGAGCAACAGTTCTCAGGTACTCAGTCAGGAAGTCTCTTTTCTCGTTGTCAAACAGGAATTTCATACAGTCTAGCAGTATTAAACAAAGAGGTCCCATGTCCTTAATCTGTGCTGCACATTCATTTCCCTTTAATTTTAGGTCACTTGCAAAAACTCACTTAATGGTGTTGGAATGTTTACAACTGTGCGCAGGGCTATCGCCTATGTGTGTGTATATACATATGTACACATCAGGTGTGCTCTGGAAAAGGTCTGAAAACACATTATGCACACCGAAATTTGTTTTTTTATTCATATTATATACATGTTTGATATACGCGGTACACATTTTCATCTCAAAGCCATTAACGATAAAAAAATATCCCAATATGCAGTACGACCCATTCTTAGCAGCATAACCATAAAATAGATTTGGATATTTATATATACAACAAACTGATGTTAAAAAAGAGTCCTAAAAGCATACAGCAATTTTACATGAGAATTCTTACTGGAGACCCCTTGTAATAGTTGTTAGTGCTGCTTTATAAATATATAAAGAGCATTTGAACAGTGGTTTCTGGTTGAGAAGCACTGACGTAAGGCACACTAACATACATGCGTCTCTTTCTGAACACAAATATACAGGCACATACTGACAAAAATATCTTTAAATAAAAAAAAAAGTTTTTACTTGTGAACTAACATTACATCATTAGTCTTGAGGATTTTTTATTGATATTTTTGTAAGACTGTGGACAACACAGTATACACTATCCTCCTGCATCACTCACACCTAGAGCTGGGTATTGTTTCTTTACCAGCGTACAGCAGATTGATTAACCTCCGGTTGGTCTGTAACAAGGAGAAGGAAAACAGCAACAGCAGGACGAACCGAGCAGAGCGACTGTCACATTGGTGAGATAGTTAGCTGGACATGCTAATGTCCGCAGCTTTGGTTTAGATTTTTCATTTTTTAAGATGACATTAAGCATGACTGCTGACTGCTCTCCCGCAGTGATGACATTGAGAATAAAAAATGTTCAGTTTAACCGCGCCGAAGCCTGCAGCTGAACCGTGGTAGAAAACACCTTCAACCCTTTTCTCATGATGGAGTGAAGGGCATACCTGTACTCACATTCTAAGAGCTGGTGCAGGAATCAAAGTATCAACATGCTCTGTCACCACCTTAAGTTACAGTTTGGTCCTGCTAAAGCTTTTTCTTGGAGGGACCACATTTCAGATTGGGATCATTTATTCTGTGCCACATGAGGTACAAGTGAGCTGGAAGGAATCTGTGTACCAGTAAAACTTCTTTATAATAGCAAGGATCGTATCCATCGAGTGTGCTGGAGGGAATGTGCAGTCCTGCCGTCTTTACACCCATATGAGAAGAAGGACTTAGTCCTGCTTTAGCTAGACACATCCCCATGTAAACATCATCAATGGGGAGAATAGTAATGGACTGGGACATATTGTATATGACCAAAGCTGTGTAGCCAGACAGGAGGAAGCCCCCACCGCCGCAGTAGGGGGGATATGAGTCTGACTCCTGTACCTGAACTGGGATAAAATACTTGCTCCCTGACATTCTAATGGGCCCCACGTTGTAGATCAGATGGCCAGTAAAGAGGTGCTTGCCTCCGTCGTTGTCCTTGAGGCTTTGGAGATACACGACCATGTTGTTTGTGTTGGCAAAGACGTCATCATCACCATTTAGCAGGAAGCGAGCGTTAGGACAGTTTCTTTCCATCCATTCCAGGAAGAGTATCTGCTTCAAGGTGAGGTTGTAGAATCTTTCATTAAAGTCCCATTGGAGGATGTCATTGTACTCTCGTTGCTCCACCTCAAGTAGTTTGTTTAGTCTCTCTTTCTCAAATCCAGTATCCATCGTTCCAGTGATGAAGATTCTTCGGATCCACACACCATTGTGTAACCTCTCTTTAGCCCAGGTTTTACGCAGCACCTCTCGGCGGTCGTAGTTCACAGGAGAACTTTTAATGACGAGCAGAAGGAAGACTTCTGCAGATTTATCAACTCCTCCGCATTTGTCAGGAAGGTCCAGCAGCATGGGGAAATGGCGACAGTGTCTATAATAGAGAAAGTCTTTTATATCACCAGAAAGAGAGCTGAAGCCTGTGATGTTGGCAGCAGACGCATTTCTTTGACATGTTGGCCAGGAGTACACATAGGAGTTCTTTGTGGAAGGTTGCCTTACTTGAATGTTCTCCTCTTTCACATCTATGTTGAGGTGGATGTTTTTGTGGTCAATAAAATCTTTGCAGAGATGGAGGACCAGTAGACCAAGAGCTCCCACCAGCAACACAGTTCTTGCCCTGATGTTTCTCATCCTTGAAACTCTGCAGTGACAAAACAAAGTTTTCTTATCAGAACATCTCAGTATGACATAAAACAACTAATAAGCCAAATTAGTTAATAATTGCTGAGGTGAATTAAGGTTAAGGATATCACAGCTGCACTGTCTACTGTACACTATATCAATTTAACAGAAATAAATGTGGGGAGCCACAGGTTCATAGATTTGTGCACTACCTGATCAGTGCAAATAAACCAGCAGATATACAAACATTAAATATCACGATAAACTAACCCAGAAACTCTTCTCGTGAGTTGGTGGACCAAAACAAACTTAAAGATGATTGAATATCGGACTTACATATGACAGATAACACGTGACTACACAAAGAGACGCATGTTTTTCTGTTCCTGCTTAATGTATAAGTAGGCAATGTGCTCACACATTATTCACAATGTGATCAAATGATGTAGCATCAAAGCAGTTTAAGTACACCTTGAACAACACTTTGAACTATATGAAATAGCTTTTCATGTAGTCTAATAAAAGTTTCCTCTCAGCACTGGTTTGATTTATTGTTCACATTGTTTCAACAAATCTTAACATTTGCTGTCAAGCTGTCAACAAATGAATCAAGTTCCTGTCTATGAAGGGCGTGAAGAAAAACATAATGAATATTGGGGAAGTTTAAGGTTTCACGTCCTTAATCATCAGAATTAGAATGACATTGAGAACATGGACTGTATTAGTCATCAACTCAATTTGGCTGTATGTCCCTTTGTCCTCTAATAATCATGGGTCCATAAGTGTTGAACAACTACATTGTAACTGCGTCATCAAACTGTGAACTGTGGACACATTAAATTCCTTTAACACAGGTAAAAACACAGCTCCTGCTGAGTGTATGGCCATTATATTTGTTGTAAAGTGGTAAACAGTGGAAACAGTGCAGCCATCATTTTTATGAGCAAAGCAGCTGCTGTGCCACTTTTAGTGCACCTGATCCGCTCCAACTCAAACATCCAACTCCGCTGTTAACTTAGAAATCACCAGTTTAAGTTAGCACACACCAGAGTACTTTGTTCGTCTGTTGGTCTGTCCTAAGCCAATATCGTGCAAGTTAACATTGTACTTCCTGCTCATTCTGCAGATGAGTGAAGCATTATTTCAACAAACAAATCATTTACTGGAGCTGCAACAGAGTCTGAAGGCGGTTTTAAATATCCAAAAGATTTGTTTCTGAGTCAGAGTCAAGAAATATAGACTGTAGAGTTTTACTTAATTTTATATCTACAATATGAATATGTTGCTTGACCTGCCTCTCTTAAAAACGATGCATAAAAAGAGACCTTTCTGTTCCAAAAACATAAGAGTTGGATCTGAAATGAAAACATGTTTGCTGTTTGAACTTTGTCTTAAAATATGAGGTGGGTGAATGTCCGTAAATTAAAGCTTCCGTGTATTTCCTCTTACTGCTTGAATAACAAGCAGAGGCCAGCAGGAGCGAGCAGACTGAGCGTCAGAGCAGACATGAGGTGGCTTGGCATCTGCCTGCAGAATCCTCACATGCTGCACTATTACAGTACAGAGGGTGGAAACAAACCAAATGCTCTCATGTCTCCTAAATTGGGTGGAATATGTTACATATATGATGATGTCAGGTATTTGATCATCAGAACAAACTAAATACTCATTCAGTGAAGCGTGAAAAAAGGGAAAGGCCTAACCAAATATGACATTCACTGTCAAATGTCAAATCACACACCTAGACTTAACACTCACTTCTCTCTGTAACTAAACAAGAGGAGATCCTGCAGAAAAACACACAACTGATATCTACCACATATAGGTCAATAAGAGAGCTGGGAGTCCCTCAAGTGTGTACTGTACTGTTGTATACTACAATGTTAATTAGTGGGTTATTTTCTTTATCAAATCGATAACAAAGCATATGTTATGTCTATATTACAGTACTAGTATAATAGACTACAAAACTATACAGTTTTTTTTTACGACTATCAGATGTCTTGATTTAGCTCATTTCCTGTGCTATTATATGAGGTGTTTCCTTCCCTCTTATTTAGTCATACAACTTTGTTTCTAAATGAACACATGAAAAATGAAGGCAAATGTTATCTGGCTTCTTGGTAAGTTGCCATAAAATATCTATGGTGAAATTGATTAGAGGGACGAATATCACAAATAGACTCTCGCTGACACTGACCGAAAGACTTAGACTTAAAATGAGCTCCCTCTTGACCAGCTACAACAGTGTTATGCTGCTTACAGGTTATTCAGTAATAATACTAATCCAATAATATAATAAATAACAGTGCAACTGATCGGGCCAATTCAGCTTCATGATGATTGATAATTTAAGGACATTTTTTCAACAAATATTTTTTGAAAAATGTTTTTAACGTACAGTTGTAGTCCTGAAAAAAGACTTCATTCTCATTTGTTCTTCCTCTAAGTTTCTGCTATATTCTTCACAGGGTTTATAAAATCATGACAGGTAATGACACTGTAATCTGTTGTACAACTTGTATCACCCACACAAGAAAGTGGAAACAAAAACAGTCTCATTTAAAACAGATTTATTCTGCAGTACTTTCGTTTTTTCTTCTTCCTCTCCCATTAATCATTTAAGAAACCCTCAGATGTATCTTTGGAAGGGCCCGGCCCCTAGTTTGGCTAAGTTGGATTTGCTTTTATTGTAATTGGGTATTTTTCCATCGATGTATTTGTACTTTTTCGTAAGTAGCTAAAGACAATGATTGTTTCCATAAACCCCAGGTTTTTGAATAACCACACAAATATATATAATGGAATAATAATATTCATCGTCGGGTTTAAGGGCAGAATCATTCGGCCAGCATAAAACATTGTGCTGGCAGACTTATATGAGGATAATGCACATTGTCAGGAAGTCGTATTTTGAAGGATCATGTGACTTTTGTTTAAGTCGCATAACGGATATCCATAACGATGTCATATAGACCAGTCTCTGCAAGATATAACCGTGAATACAATCTAAAATATAAGCTTTGATTAAAACAAGACTGATTTAAAATACTTTTTTTTCTGTCTGAGGCGTTGTTTTTCCGACCCGAGCGTTGATCTGAAATGGGCTTGTAGCCAATCACAATTCAATGTAATAAAAATGTATCGACCAAAGCTTGACTAAAATAAAGATGTTCCTGTTAGGCTATCATAGATATGTCCCGTTACTTTAAACCGGAAACTCCCCGGAGAAGTGGGTAACGTTATAACGTGTTATCTATAGTAAAGTGTACAAACAGCATTAGACCTATATGACGTTGTTTGTATAATTAACTAAGAGTAGGCTGCTTACCGTTAAAGGCGATAGTTCCTCTCGTGTGTCTCTGTAGCTCCAGTGATGATCA